AAAAAAAAAAAAAAAAAAAAAAAAAAAAAAAAAAAAAAAAAAAAAAAAAACTCAACAAAGCACAAAAAATATGTTTTATTTGTGCTTCAGTACAAATTAACGAAAAAGTTGATCACAAACGAAGCGTAAATCTCTCAAAACTGTGCTGCGGTGTGAAAAAATATAAAATCGTATAAAGTGGCAGCACTTAAAGCTCAAACGTGCCACAACTGCTTAAAAATTGTAAAATAAAAATGCAATAATTTTTTGTTTGCCATCTTGTTTATTCGATCTATGTGTTTGTTGTTTGTGTACGTAATATTACAAAATATAAAAAAATTAGTATGTATTTGGTAATACTATTAAAAATAATATTTTATTTTATTTATAATAAAAATATATATGTATAAGCTGGAACTGTAAGCTTTTCATACAAAATATTTAAAATATACCACTTCATTACACTAAAAACAAATATTTGTATTCGTGTATGTTTTAGGGTTAGCCAAAACTAACAGATCGTTTTAATGGATTAAAAGTAAACAAAATATTGGAAAAAACCGTAAGGAAAAATTTTTAGTTAAATTTAATTTTGTACATGCTCATATATATGTCTAACAACAGGAAAATTACTTTTTATTTGGGCATTTGGCATTCAATTTTTWACATTGCGAAATTTGGGGCATAAAATGGGCGAAAAATGTCCTCTGAACTCTTTTTTTATTAATAATTCTACAAATTAAAAAATTAATTTAGTTTTTTTGTTCCTTGGCAGATGGGCGCAAATAGACCAGTGCCATGCCCACAAATATAACTTAGCACTAAATTGAAATACATAGCAAATTTGGTAGAGGRGTTTGCAATAATAAGTGACCTGCTCAGAAAAATTTTTTGAAAGTAGTCATGGCCCCGCACMTAAGTGGTTTAATGTATAGAAATTCAAGAGTCAGAGGAAGATGACGATATGGAACTTTAGAAAACTAATGTTGAGCTCCCTAGAACAGCTATCTGTAGAACGGGAATGGGTTTGCGCTACTGTGTTCTGTTGCGTTCTTGTACTAGATGGGTGGGAATCGCGGAACTATCGAAGAGTAATAGAAAACGCTCAAGGGAAATAATCCTAAAATGACTTGAAGTCAATAAAAATATTAAAATTTACATAAACTGCGAATTAAGTGGCACTTTATAGCAAAAATCCTTTGAGAATGGCTTTATAATCAAACGAATAAAGCAAACACATACAGACATTGGCATACAATTGCGCGTGTGCTCCAAAATTCCACACACTTTAATGCAGAAGCGGAAATCAGGGTCACCAAYACAAACAACAGCAGCAGCAACATTTATCTGCGCTGCTAAACTTCTTAGCGTATAGTAGAGATCTGMAAATTATTTTTTGGGGCACTGCCAAGTGGACTAACGAGAAACATGCGCTTCGCTGCGGCGCTGCGTCGAGTTGCGGCATCTAGTATGGCAACCGAATTTCCTTGATCCTTTATTTGATTATCATTAGTGAGTTGGTGMTGCAGTAGCCGTGGCAGTGGAAGCGCCGCGCAGACATGCAGGCGGACAGACARCAGAGGCAGCAGAAAGCAAAAAAGCAAAACTTTGAGCGCATCAAGCATAGATGCACACTTATATGCATACAAGTATGTCCATGTGTTTGTTTGTGTGCGCTGGCACAAGCACTAATGTGTTGGCAACGACATGTCTGACCAACATTTCGCCTTCAACCAAAGCTTTGTAAGGATTTCGATTGAGCATGTATTTGTGCCACAATCATGTCTTCTACATCCAGCTCTATAGCTGTATGTGTGTTGGTAAAGTCGTCAATGTGTGTGTGTGTGCATTCTTGCTCTGCTTTTGAAGGCTAATGCAGGCTTTGAGTAACGCTACTGTGGCCTGGCCTTTTGAGACACGACATTCCATGTTGCAAGAGCGACAGTGTATGAATCAAGGTTGCCGACATTGCATAATGGCCATAGCAAGCATTCTTGTAATGCACACACGTACATACAGACACACACAAAAGCATTAGCATGCATTTGCATATAAGCAGCCGGTTTACAGCTGCGATAAATGTTTGTGCTGCTGTGCATATTTTAATTTTGTCAAAGACGCTTGTGGGCTTGTCAATTGCACAAGCACCAGCCACAGTAACACAGCAAAGCAGGCATGCAAAACGCTGAAAAAAAGCAAAAAATAATGGAAAATATATTAAATAGCAAAATAAAAAAAGAAATCGTTCAGTTTGCCTGCACAACTTCGACCTTTGCAAAGCAAGCAAATTTACTTCACTAAGTCTGTAATTATCAATTTCGCTCTCTCTCTCTCTCTGCTTCTTTCTTGCTCTATCCAATTTTTTTACTTGGTTGCATTTTGTAATTTCCTTGCGCTCATTTGTTTTGAAATTAATGGCGGCTTAACTTGACGTCTACTGCCAATTACTCCCAGCCACAATGAACAAATTAAAGCTACAACAATAGCAACAAAGAGCAGCTAGCTACTAATTTAGTTTTGTACCCTACACAAGGTATGTTAAATTTGCCACAATGGTTGTGATACAAAAAAAAAAAAAAAAAAAAAAAAAAAAAAAAAAAAAAAAAAAAAAAAAAAAAAAAAAAAAAAAAAAAAAATCGGAGACTCTGTAGAGCATTTATATAAACGATACGCCATTAGACGAACATTTGATGGACATGAATGAACGATCCAAATCAAGGCCTTGTATGAAAAGCTTTTTATTTGACGAGCTACCTCACTACAGAAATTTTGTAGATCGAACTACTATAGCATATAGCTCTCATACAAATTTATTGACGAAAATACGTTAAAATATCTGCTATGAAAACTGCAACAGTGAAGGGTATTAGAGCTTCGGTGCAGCCAAAGTTAATGTTGTTTCTTGTTAGTGCATGTATTTCGGTTTTGTTGCTAACGCCAGTAAATCGAAATAACAAAGCAATAAGTACGCAAATCTGACAAATAAAATATTAAGCAGGCAATTGTGGTTGCTTACTGACGTATTAGAAGCCCAATAATGCAATTTGTGCTAAATTGTTCAGTAAGCGCAATGGCTACCAAGTTCTAACCGAAATCGGACTAGTGGTTGTTTTTAGTGGGAGTAAAAATAATGGTATCTTCACAACTCTTTGATATTAATAACGAAAAAGTTGGAGTCAAAGTCACCATCTGGAAAAGGATAGTGCTAGCTATAGAAAAATAAGAAGATTTCATTATTGGTCGGCTTAATTAATTATTGACATTTGACTTGCGCCATCCTTTCACCCATTCGCTGCAAAGAATATCGACTTTAGAAGGAAAATAAGTAACATTATTGCATTTAACATTTTTKTTTAGAAAATATTGCCTTAGGAAGAGGAGATATGAGACGAATACGGGCAAAGTAACGAAGAAGTTTATTTGGCTTTATAAACTACCCTTGAATTCTTTGCGTGAAATCGTCAGTTCTCAAGCGTAAAATCCATACCAAATCACAGACAGTAGTCCCCTATAGATTACTGGTAAGCTTTTCCTAAATAACGACTATTGCGCCAAAGTTGAAGACAATGGTACACCCATAGCACTTCTATTCCCGAAATTGGAAAAAATTGAAATTTTCTTCTTAGCATACATAATATCAAAAATATCCMTGTAAAAGGATTTTTAAAATTTGTAATTATGTATTTCCGAATTTATAGCCGTTTTGGTGGTTCAGGACAGTGACAAGCTCTCTTAAGTCGATATTCGAGTGCAGAAATTTGAAGATTTTTTTCGAGATTTTGGTCCTTCCATAGTTTGATAGTTAARATATTAAAAAATATCCTTCTATGAGGGTTTTTCAATTTTCACATTATTTCTGAATATTCTAATCTAGAAATTTGAAAAAAAAATTTTTAATTTTTTCTTTTTTCATAATTTGATAGCTTAAATATTAAAAAATACCCTTCTAAGAGGATTTTTCAATTTTCAAATTATTTCTGAAGTTATAGACGCTTTAGTGGTTCCGGACAATGCCTAGTCCACTTAAGGCAGTATTCTAATCTAAAAATTTGAAAAAACAAAATTTTAATTTTTCCTTTTTTCATAATTTGATAGCTTAAATATTAAAAAATACCCTTCTAAGATGATTTTTCAATTTTCAAATTATTTCTGAAGTTATAGGCGTTTTAATGTAATGAGTTTAGAATCATTTGTCCATTTCAAGAAATCGGTTCTTGTGCATTTTCATATCGAATGTACCTATATTTGAGAATATTCTTTTCATTTAGCTTGGAGAATTTAATTTTGCACACCCTGTGCAAGGAAGATAAAGTTAGGGCTATGATCGTAAAGTTCAATTATATTCCAGGTTGTAGCTTTCTGAATTGCACTAACGCATCGGAACTGGTCTAAGTAAAGAGTAAGAGCAAGTTGGTTAGGTATATTTAGCTGTCCAGCAAAAAAATTTCAAATAAGTAATCAAAAATGTAAATATTCAAAACAGAAATAGCAAAAAACACTCTGACTATGTATAGTCATGCAATTTTTAATGCTTAATGCCAACATTTTCAAATTTTACTTCAAATGATAACCAGTAATTAACTGATATTTAACTAATATTTAACAGTTAATTAACTATTATATACTTTTAAAAAGCGTTTAAACGTCAAAAACTAAGCTCGAAAATGAGCTTAGTAAATGGTTTAGACATGCCAAAAATATCAAAAATAACAAATACACTTCAGACATACCAAAAGTATAAAAATTTGTGTATAAACGCCTAAAAGTATGCCAAACGGCAATAAGTGCAGAGGTTAACATAAAAATCTTAATACATATGCAATTAACAGAAAAGCGGTATTWCAACTGTGTAATGCATGTAGGCATTGTACTTTCGGTCTGCCGACTTTAGCGCATGTAATATGTAGACTGAGTGTGTATGCGTGTGTATGTGAATTGGTGACAATTTGACAGCGCAATTATTACGATATTGMTGTTCGTTGGCATTGCGCCACTGCAGTTGGCTGCCAGGGCGTACCTACCTGATCGTTTGCTGGCGTCGGTGCAGCGGGCATTTGCGACATTGGCAACGCGCTGGCTGGTGCCGCCTCAGCGCTGACTATATCGTTGCTCGTTGACATGTTGCTGGTGTGTGCGATTTTTATTTACAGTTTTAAACGTTTTTATATAAATTTGTTGTTATTTTGTGTTTTTTATATTTATGATTTATTGTTGTTGTAAATTATTTATGTTGTTTGTTGTGTTTTAACACTTTCTTTCAATTGCTTGGTTTGTTTGATTTATTATTATTTTTGATTTTTTTTTTATTATTTAAACGTATCCTCTCGTTTTATTAAGTTTTTTGTGTAAAAAGTGCTTAAAATTATTTTATATTATTATTTTTGTGATGTTGTTTTTCACTTATTTTCTGCCAGTGTCTGTTTTAGTATAGTGCTTTGATTTTTAAATTTTCAAGCGTGTGTGTGCTTTGTTGTTATTTTATTTCGTTGCTGTAAAAAGAGAAAAAGCACAAAAGAGATGTGCCAGAATTAATTGCTGTGCTGACAATTTTCGTTAATTTCTTGCGGTGCCTTTTCGCCAACGCCAAACTTCACTCAAGTGCTTCGCAGCACAAAATGCTATTGCTTTAATTAAATGCGATGTTACCATATGTGTATAGTTTAAAAGTTAAGAATAAAAAACCGARAAACCCGATATTTGAATTTTTCACATAAATTTTGAAAATTACAAAAAAAAACATTATAAACAAAAAAAAATTATGTATATAAAAAATAAATGAAAAAAATTATTTAAGAAAAAAATAAATATTAAAGAAAAATAGAAATACGAAAACAAAAATTTCTTTTTTAAATAAATTTTCTTTTACACTGTATATTTTTTTAAATTTATTTAATTAAAAAATTAATTAATTAACAAACAAATAAAATAAAAAAGTTAATTAATTAAAACTTAACTTAGCTGAATTAAATCTTTTTAATTCAAGAATAAAAAATGACCCCTTATAATCCCTTAAAATACTGRACCACACGAAAAACCCGCTCACAAAATTTGTCAGTTAATCTCAGACGGCTGCAAACCCGCTTAGTTTATTTCATTTGACTAAACGCAATAAGGGTACGAAGTTCAGCCAACCATTCGCCTGTGCCTTAAACGTCAATTATTTATATACATATATGTATATATATATTTATATACGACTAGAAAGAAAATAATAATTCGTCATTATGGTCAAATATTARCAAAATAAGTTATCGAAGCATAATGGAACTTAATCAACAAAGATTAAACCGCATTACGATTTGCTATAAATTGAAATAAATCCTAGCTAAATATGCAACTAAGAATGAWAGAATGTGCGGCTGTAGCTGAAATAGAAATGGAAATGAAAAAGCGAACATTTGTACGCTTCAAAAGGAGGCAAAGCATTTGTGGTTGACTAGCGGCCGCAATTTGTCCAAATAAAACAAATATATATCTGCAATAAGCAGGTGGATTGAGTGTGTATTAGTGACAAATCGCGCTAATATAGTACAATAAATTTCCTACTTAACTGTTATTGGTTAGCCAGACAGGCGCAGTGACTCAAGCCAAATGTTGGAAGCACAACAATGGAGGGACTTATTGGTTCGTTATAGATATAGCTATGTATGTATGTATTGGCTTATTCAGAAATATTTTCAATACAAAGTAAGGTGTGGAAATAAGTATTGATAACTGTATAATTTTGTTTTGGTATATGTGTTGAATATGGTCAATTACGTAGTTGATTGCTCTTGACTGATCAATTATACTGCTCACTCAAGTAGAAAGATTGTGGTAGACATAAAGTGCTTTCGAAAAAATGTTGCCAAAATATTACAAAGATTCACCCTATTACACATATACAGTTACTTTCAAATTGTGTTTAAGCTGACAAAACGGTGTTAAATTAAGCAACCACACACAATTAAAGCCGTTCCCATGACAATTGGATCTAAGTAACTCATGCGGATTGAACAGCGTATATTAAATTTGCTATGMTGTTTGTAATACCCTAAGAAAACTTTGGAGACTATAAATTACTAATATATTTGTCTGTATATAAATGATCAAGCTGAGTCAATTTAACCAGGTTCATCTTTCTGTACATATACGGATTAGCCCCAGTATTTGAGATATCACTCTGAAATGTTCCATACATCATTTTCTCCATAAGAAGTTACTTATTTGTGGAAACCACCGATTTCGGACTASTGCCAAATTTGCCTGCCATTCAAACTGAACGATCAAATCAAGTCCCTTTTAGTTGATGAGATATCTGATTGAAATTTTGTACGAGTGGTTGTGCTAGGCATCACTACAAAATTTGCAAAAAAAAAAATTTCAAATCGGTCTACTATAGCACCTAGCTGCCGTACAAASGCAACGTTCAAAGTCAAGTGCTTGTATGGAAAACTTTTCTACTAGACGAGGTATCTTCAGGAAATTTGACACGAATTGTTAGCAAAGACAACGATAAAATATTTGAAAAAAAATTACGATCGGACCACTATAGCACACACACCACAAAACGGAACATTCAAAATTCAGTGCCTCTATGTAAACATCTTTATTTGTGAAGGGTATTCTAGCAGCGGTGCAACAGTAGTTCACATTCTTAATGTTTTTGAAACTCTTATTTCTAATGCTTGATAATAAAGAACAATCACTACAAAAGTATATGCCAACATACTGCAGCTCATTATTGTCGATTGATTTTTCTAGCCACATTAGCTGCACATTTGTGCAACCGCAGCGGYTCATTCGCTTCACTGATTGCTTAGTTAGCATTCTGGCTGATTGAATAGACGGTTGACCTGCGGCTGTAACATCAATTCAAAGAATTTTTCTCAACCACGCAAACGCATGCCATGATGCCGTGGCGTATGAGTGACAATAATAGAAGCACAACGCGGAGCACTCAGGCATATAAGTCAATATATACACACATATACATATATATACATATATACATATTTTCGCATTTTGCTTTAACTAAACTGCTTTAACGTTTGAACGACTGTAAGCCTGCTGGACTTGCAACTGACTCGACTGACTCTCGATATGAMAGTTTGTCTAAGTGATTGCCAAAGGCTGACTTGTCGACGGCATAAACTTTTCATTTTGTGCCAATATCCAAGTGAAAACCAAATAAAATATTTATATTTATGTATGATTGATAAATGGGAAAAATTTTGCGCCTGCGGCTGTGCTGTYGGCATGCGCTTCGCTTTGCTGCGTGTGAGTGTGTTCACTGAAGCACACAAACATAATCTATCAACTGTGTTAATATTTATTAATGTCTGTTATGTTTTATTTGCCAAGGCTCAATATTATTTGATGACAAATACATGCGTATGGCGAAAGTGCGKGGGCGATTCAAGGACAATTTGTTGCGCGAAGTGTGCTAAATGAGTCTGAACGTAGTTGAGTTTGCTTTGYTGCTATAATGTTGGAGACTAAAACATTCGCGCATAAATTGAATGTTGTGACTGCAGRACAAAGTTAYTTTTATTTATGTTTAAGTAAGCAARGAGTATGGAGKGGAAAGCTTAATCTTTTTGCGGTGGATGGATGTGTGTGCGCGTATAAATATATGTATGTGGACGATAAAACTGGCAGAAAGGGTAATGAAATATTGACGATAATTCTTTAAAAAGATTTATTAGGAAATTATACATTCATAGGGTTGCCATACAAAAATTAATTATTTCAACATTTTGCTCGAGAAGAAATGACAAACTAWTTCTTTGAAAAAATATTTTGGTTCGGTATGAATTTAGTTATAGAGTTGCTTTTTGCTTAGGAAACTTTTCAAATCTTGTAATACGAAATGTATATAAAATGAGAAAAAGCCGGCTGTACCGAAGCTATATCCTTCACAGACGCATAGAGTTTTTCATACAAGAAAATGAGTTTTTAAGTCTTTTGTGTGGAAGCTACATGCTAGAGTTGTCCGATCTAACCTAAAGTTTTTGGTTCATTATGGAATAATTTAGATTAATTTAGGTTATATTATTGATTCTGATGCCAAAAGTAGCACAGGACCCCACTTGGACGAGTGTGCACGTTGCTAAGTTGTGCTAACCAAAACACCTGAATATGGATCAGCAGTTGCTATTTTACTATTCAACAAAAATTTACCATTATCAATCAAGGCAAGTTATCCTTTAAGGCAAAATTACTATAAAAATATCAATGCACCACAAAATTTTGGAGCAACAGCCAGGACTACTTGCAAATCTGTATGTCAAGCGTTACCATACCGCTATAACTACTTAAATTTCCATATGCTTAACACTTTAATATTATATATTTTGTTCCACTCTAACTCCTTACATTATCATTTGAATACTTTATGCATTATCAGCCATTAACAACAATAACGAAGATTGATTGAACGCTTTAAGGAGTCACTCACTGACAGTTTCAGTGTTACACAAAGGAGTGGCGGGTTAACCCTGCTTTGCCACACTCATAATACATACTATACGAGTATAACCCTACGCCATCCATTGTTATGCTTCCAACTACAGCACTTAAATTAAAAAATACTTTAAGATAGCAAAATAGCAGTTGGAATATGCAAGAGCACCATATTCTCCATCAAAAAGAGAGTTTAGCAGCAATACGCGAAATAAACAAGCACTTGAGTTACTCGCCATTCATTGACTGCTAAACGAAACGTTTTCTACGTGGCCATTTTATCAAGTGTGCACTCGACTCAACTCATTTCCGCTGGGAAAGCGGCAGCCATGCATCCAAGAGCAAGAATTCGAACTGACTCGTTTGCAGCTTAAACTAACTCGATGCCGCATTGCTTGTTGTTGTCGAGCGCTGAAGCTCAATTCACGTTTTAGCTGACATAGCTCAGTGGAAATGGTGAGCAATGAGCTCAAGCACTTAAAAACATACCTATACAATGATATCTAGTATATATGTATATAAATATAGCAATTGAGGATTTTCTCTTTGCCTTCGCATATTTGCACTGGCTCTGGCGTCTAGCCGCTTTAAGTTGAAGTTGCCGGAAGTGGTTGCACATATTTTAGCTACTTAGATATTTTAACTGCAGAAGTGCACTCATGAGATGCTTCAACATTTTATCAAACGCGACTATTCGACTATTCGCGAAGTTTCGCTGAAGGATTGCGGCAGCAAATGAAAGAGACGGTGGATAATGATATGGTTGTGTTGGTTGCAGCGCGGTAAAGGCAACTTTGTTGCAACTATTAAAACTACAATGGAGTTGAATTATTTAATCTTTGGCTAACGAATGCGATTAAGGGCGATATAAAGTTACCTAAGAGTTGAATTTCGTGGGCATGACTGAACTTTAATGGCAAGGTGTATAATTTTATGAAAGTATGCGTTTGTAAGTAAGTTTTAATATATCGTCCAGTGAAATGTAAGTGAGTGGGGTTTAATATTTTGTCCAATGRTCTGTAAGTGGTTGCGCATCGAATGAAGG